GCCGCGTTTCCAGCCGGAGCGCTTTCCCCGCGGACCGTTGGCGGCGGGCGGAAGCGGAAGCGGAAGCGGGGCACGGTTGGCGGCGGACCGGAAGCGGGCGGGCGGCGCGATGGCGGGGCTGTCGGTGCGAGACCCCGCCGTGGATCGCTCCCTGCGCTCCGTGTTCGGTGAGGCCGCGGGCGGGACCGCCACTGCAGGGGGAAGGGACAGGGACAGGGACAGGGGCGGGAAGGAGCCGGGGGGCGGTGGGTTTCCCCCTCGCCTCGGGGCCGGTACCCGCCGCGCTGACCGGCGGCACCGTCTGTCTCCGCAGTGGGGAACATCCCGTACGAGGCCACGGAGGAGCAGCTGAAGGACATTTTCTCGGAGGTTGGGCCCGTGGTCAGCTTTAGGTGAGAGCGGCCGCCGGCCTCCCCCGGGTTCCCTGCTGGGCGGGCTCTGCGGAGCCGCCTTGGAACGGGAAATCCTAAATCCTGGGAAAGATCTTTAAAAACATCCAGCCCGGCCGTTGTGTCGGCACTGCCAGCCCGCCGTGTCTCCTAGTGCCACATGCACACACCTTTTGAACATTTCCAGGGATGGTGGCTCCACCGCTGCCTGTTCTAATGCTTGAGAACTGCTTTGGCCAATAAATTCTGCTAATATCCCATCCAAACCTCCCCTGGGCCCCTTTGAGGCTATTTCCTCACACAGAGCAGTGCAGGGTCTGCAGGGCTTGTGCGGCTGTGCCAGCTGTGCCAGCTGTGCTCGGGGCACACTCTGTGCCAGGGTCAGCTGGACATGAAGCACAATGCCCCGAGCAGAGCAGATGGACRTGGGCACTCAGTTCTGGGCTGGAGAAACACCCTGCTGTGGCTGCTCAGGTCCTGGTCGGGCTGTGTGCTCCCCATTCCCACCCCAGTGCCTCTCAGGGTGTTTTCTACACTTGCACCAGGCCCTGGAGAGCTCTCAGCTGGAGTTTGGGGGTTCCAGGAGCAGCCAGTCCCATCCTATGCCTCATGGCAGGTACAGAGCTGGCACTGGTGGGCTTTGTGCACAGCTCAGCTTTGGGAACACCCATCCCAAGAGTCAGGAGCCCCTTAGGCTCTGGCTTAGGCCCGGCTGTTGTGTGCCATGGCCTGACTGTGGAGCTCTTGCTGTGCTCCCAGCGCTCTGCTGGCTGTACCCCCCTGTCCCCTCTGAGGGCTGGAGCCRTGGGCACWGCTGCACAGCTCAGCAGCTCCTCTGGTTGCTGTGCAGGCTGGTGTAYGACAGGGAGACGGGCAAGCCCAAGGGCTATGGCTTCTGCGAGTACCAGGACCAGGAGACGGCGCTCAGCGCCATGCGCAACCTCAACGGGCGCGAGTTCAGCGGCAGAGCCCTGCGCGTCGACAACGCCGCCAGCGAGAAGAACAAGGAGGAGCTCAAGAGTGAGTCGGGCTTTGGGGGAGCCCTGCTGGGCCTGGCTTTGGCAGCGCCACAGGGCGTGTCTGTTCTGACCTTCTCTGAGAGGGGTTCAGAGAGTTGCCCAGAGGGATGCAGGGGCCCATCTCTGTGTTTTCACTCCCTGATGATAACAGAATCACAGAATTGTTCGGGTTGGAAAAGGTTTCTAAAGATCATGGAGTCTGACCTTTGACCAAACACCATTGTGTCAATTTGACTGGGGCACTGAATGCCACATCCAGTCTTTACTTAGACACTTCCAGGGACAGTGACTCCACAGCCTCYCTATTCCAATGCCTAACCACCCCTTCTGTGAAGAAATTCCTCCTAATAGCTCCCTCTTTTCATTGCCTCCTTTTCCTGATGTCTGGTGCTCCCCTCCTGATGAGCCCCTTTCACACGCACGCTGGTTGTGTCGCTGTACGAGGTCACCAACTSTGTTGCAGGCTTGGGCACAGGTGCMCCCATCATAGAGTCACCCTATGGGGACCCTGTCAACCCTGAGGACGCCCCAGAGTCCATCAGCCGGGCAGTGGCCAGCCTGCCMCCCGAGCAGATGTTTGAGCTGATGAAGCAGATGAAGGTGAGTGCAGGAAGGCCGTGCTCCCTGTGTCCACACCCTCCCAGCCCCGTCACGCCTTGTTGGAGCTCTGATCCGTGCCTGTTTTCCCAGCTGTGTGTCCAGAACAGCCCCCAGGAAGCCAGGAACATGCTGCTCCAGAATCCCCAGCTGGCTTATGCKCTGCTGCAGGCCCAGGTGGTCATGAGGATCGTGGACCCGGAGATCGCGCTGGTTTGTCCCTTGCTGCTCCTCGGGGTTGGGAGGATGTTGGTGACAGTCTTTGTGGAGCAGGACTGGAAAAGAACCCCTTTGTCCTCCTTCCACCCTTAGAAAATCCTGCATCGCCAGACCAGCGTTCCTCCTCTGATCCCAGGCAACCAGCAGCCGGTGCCAGGACCAGGGCCTGGGCCAGGACCGGGGCCTGGGCCGGGGCCCAACGCACAGCTGAACCCGCAGAGCACCCCCTCGTCCCAGCCACAGCCCATAGTAAGAGCCTGCATAACCCCTGAACTGTGCAGGAGAGAGGGGCAGTGCCAGCTCCAGCTCCAGCAGCTGGGCCACGTGCCTGGTGTTGGGCTGTCCCTGAGATCAGTGTCTCTCCCGGGCAGGGCGGGATGCACGTCAACGGCGCTCCTCCTCTGATGCAGCCGCCCATGCAGGGAGGAGTGCCAGCCCCAGGACAGATGGCAGCCCCTGTGCAGGGTCCAGGCCCTGGCCCCATGGCTCCAGGAGGTGAGTTTGGGCCATGCCACCCCGCCCGTGGGCACACTGGTCCTGCAGACACCCCCCTCTGCCTTCCCCCTAACCAGAGGGCTTGGCCCCATGAGAACACACGGAACCCTGTAATGTACATTGTGGTTGTGCTGCTGCAGAGGTGGGCTGCAAAGTTGGATTATCCCTGGGGAGAACCAACWCCAAAGGAATAGACCTCCAGATGCTCCCCCAGGAGCTGGGAGCGAGAAGGTATTTGGGGCCAAAGGAACGGGTTAGTTGTCAGGGATGGCTGAGGAGGGCTCTGTTCTCTGCCTGTCCCCTCTCAGGTGGGATTCAGCTGCAGGTTGGGGTGCTGGGTGCAGGGCCTGTCCCCTTGGAGCGTGGACAAGGTAAAACAGAGCTGTGTAGTGCTGTGTGGTGTGAGCCTGGCTGCAGTGAGCCGTGCTGTGCCCCAGCCCCCTGCAGCCTGGCTGTACCCAGCCCCAGGGCTGTGCCCGGGTTCCTTCACTGAGGCACGAGGCTGTGGTAGCCCCTGGCTCCCAGGACTCAGCCCACGCCCCGATTGGCTCCCAGCTCGTTCTGTGCCGCGTTGTGCAGTCGCGCCCTGGAAGCCAGGAGTGCTGCCTGTCCCCGCCGAGCAGGATACGCCTGTGTTTTCCGCCTCTGCGAGCCCCGTCTGTCCCTGTGCTTGTGCGGGCAGGCAGAGCTTGCTCTTCTCCTCCCTGTCCTGCTCCTTTGCCGCCTGGGTGCTGGGGAGCAGCTGCTGCAGCCCCGCGTCCGCCGCTCCGTGCCCGGCAGAGGGAGCTGGGTCTCCGTTCTGCTTTGAGGCTTGGCAGGGATTTCCCGGAGAGTGGCGCCTCGGCTTTCCCTGCGCAGGCACGGTCTGTAGGGCCCAGCCCCGGGCCCGGTTCCTTTCGGTTCACGTGTTGCACACCCAGGTTAGCACGGTCCAGGTGTTCCTGYTCTCCCAGGAACAGCGCATGCAGACACGCCTGACACCTCTGTTGCCTTGACTTGTATCTTAGGCCTTGTTTCAGCAACATGRCAAACCTAGTCTGAGATCCTTTGGCCTTAGGGTCGGCTGACTCTCATTTCTTTGGGGTGGGCACTGTTTTCCTGAAAGCAACCTGGTAGTTCTTGGCACCGGAAAGGGTTTGGAGAGCAGAAGGTGGCAGTGCGTTGTGGGGCCAGCGTGGCCCCACGGAATGCCATGTCTCTTGGTAGGATGTCTTCTTTCCCTGCCTTTCTCTTTGAGTGACAGAAGGACTGTGCCACGCTGGCTGTCCTGCCTGTGGTGACAAAGGTGGTTTTATTGGAAGAGATTGATAAAGCCAGACTTGCAGCATCTTCTCTGTAGGTTTTCCTGGGGACTTCAGGGAGCATGATCGTGCAGGCAGCACTGTCCCCAAAGCCGGTGCATGTGTGCATACACTATTTACGTGTCTGCTCTTTCCCTCTTTTCCTGCTGCTTGCCCAGGGAACCTGCAGCTCTCGCCCGTGGGACCTGCCAGGCCTGCATCTATCGAACGTGTTCAAGGTATCCCGGCACCCGCCAGCTCCCTCTTCCCACGGAGCTCTTTGTGGAGTGTGCAGAGAGCAGCTTTCACCCCGCTGTTCTCAGGGCCAGGGACTGCCATGTGACTCCTTGTAGCCTGACAGCATTAGGAGGAGGAGGAGGCAGGATTTCCTCTAGGGCTACAGGCGAGAACAGGCTAGAACCGTGCACGGAACCTCCAGTGGAAAAGGAGAGCATGTTTGGAAAGGGCTTTTGCCTAAGATCCAGCCCCCTTTGACGCTGCACTTTCAGGAGTCTTCCAGGTCTTGCTTTGCTCYTGGCTGTCAGCAGGGTGTTGTTGCCCAGGCTTGTAGGGATTGCCATGGGGGTGCCCATGCTTGGCTTGGCCCCGGTGCTGTAAGGAACCTGAGATAGAACCAGAGAGGAAAAAGAGAGGAATAAAATTGGCAGCCAGGGAAGGGGCTTCGGTGTGCTCCAGCCTTGGGTGCAGGGCTGCGGCCCCAGCAGACAGCTCGGCTCAGGGGAGCAGCGTGGCTGCCCCACGCCCGGCCCGAGAGTGCCGGGACAGTCTTGGCACGGCACTGGTCATGCAGATCCTCACGAGTTCTTGTGTGTCTCCCTGGCAGTGCCCATGCCAGACCCGAGGGCCCCTATGCAGCGTGGACCTCTACCTGCTAGTGGCCCGCCACCCCGAGGCCTTTTGGGAGATGCCCCGAATGACCCTCGCGGAGGGACCCTGCTCTCAGTCACTGGAGAAGTGGAGCCCAGGTGAGGGGAGAGGGAAGGAGAGGAGCCCTTGGCACTGTCCCCTGCCCAAGGGGAACCTCTCGCTGAGGACAGGGATGGCACCAGCCTTCCGGGAGTCACTGCTGCCTGGTCAGAGGCCTGTGTGCTGCCGAGCGTGGGGGCCGGTCCGTTTCCCCGGGGAAGGGCTATCCCCGGGGTGATGGCAGCTGCCCTGTGGCATGGGGCCACCAGCACCCATCCCTGTGCCAGCCTCATCCTCCTCCCCTGTGGCCGGCTTCGGGGGCAATCCCAGCGCTCTGCCCAGACCGTGCCAAGCCAGCGTCTGATTCACACTCTCTCGCTTTTTCTCCTCCTCCTGCTTTGCTCTCCTCGTCTCTCTGCGTCAGAGGTTACCTTGGGCCGCCCCACCAGGGAGCCCCTATGCACCATATGCCTGGTCATGACAGCCGTGGCCCCCCCCATGAGATGAGGGGGGGACCCATGGGAGAACCCCGACCACTGATGGGAGAGCCGCGGGGGCCCTTGATGGATGCTCGAGGTGAGAGAGGGGGCATGAAATACTGGGTGGCGTGGAGCGTGCAGGCAAGAAGTGAGAGCGGAGCCGGCTGCCCCGACCCAAGGCGTAGGAAGGGGGTTTGGGCAGTGAAATGACTGACTCCAGGCGAGGAGGGACAGTCCCAGGGTGCAAGGGACTTTCTCCAGGCATGTCCCCTCTGCCCCAGCCCCGCACCTTTTGGGTGCTTGCTAGSCCCCAGACGAGGAGGCAATGGGCTCACTGGCACAGTCCCTGCAGCGCCACTTCCATCAGGAGCTGACCTTGTGTTTCCTCCGCAGTTGGCAGAGACCCGCGGGGATTGGAGCCGCGAGGATTGGAGCCACGTGGGCTGGAGCCGCGGGTGATGGAGGCAAGAGGCCTGGAGCCGCGGGTGCTGGAGCCACGGGTGCTGGAGGCCAGGGCCATGGAGGCCAGGGTGCTGGAGCCMCGGGGCCTGGAGCCTCGAGGGCCCGGGCCCAACCCGCGTGGCCCCATGCCTGGTGGGATACAGGGTCCTGGGCCACTGAACATGGGAGCCACTGGCCCGCAGGGGCCGCGCCAGGTACACACATCTCTGCTCAGCTGCTCGGGCACCAAGGGCATCCTCTAGCCTGGGGCTGGGGGGGGTTTCCCACAGAGCAGCAGCTCTGGGAAGCACCAGGCCTTTGTCTCTGGCTCTTAGGGGTGAGGGTGACTGTCCATTTCCCCAGGCACTGCCCAATTGCTGGGGACAAAGCTCAGGCCTTTCTCTGCCTCTTCCTGAGGCACAGAAAGTAGCACAGGAGCTGGAGGGAGAGGAGAGCTTGAGATGCCCTCAAGCTGTGATGGCATCTATCTGGTCTTCTGCTTTATGTTCCTGGATTTGTATGCCTGAGTCCAGAGACCCCTCAGTCCTTAACTCCTCTTTTACTCGCACAGGTTCCTAACATGGCTGGGGCAGGCATGCAGGGAGGAGGCATTCCTGGGGCAGGAGTCCAAGGAGCTGGTCAGCCTGGAGGCTTTAGCCCTGGACAGAGCCAGGTCACCCCCCAGGATCACGAGAAGGTGAGAGAACAAAAGGGAAAGAGTGAGACAGGAGGAGCAGCACTTCTTGTGTGCCTTTGTGTGGTGGGGACAGCCCATCCCTGGCTTTGGTAGGCTGTGGCTGCTCTGGCAGGGCACATGTCTGACTGCTCTTACCCCACAGGCAGCGCTGATCATGCAAGTCCTGCAGCTGACAGCAGACCAGATCGCCATGCTGCCCCCAGAGCAGCGGCAGAGCATTCTCATTCTGAAGGAGCAAATCCAGAAATCCACGGGGGCACCCTGACAGGTAATGTCCTTAACCCAGTCTTACCCTGTGCCTGTTGCCCTCCAGTGAATCAGAACTGCCCAGGATGGGACTCTGACCTGCTSCTCTCTGTGCCAGGCTCACYMYCCTCYCCTTCTTTCAGGCAGGCACATGATGGAGATGCCATGTGCCTGGACAGCAGTGATGCTCCATGGCTGCTGCTTCCCATYGCCTCCTGAGCTGATGCTGCATTTTGGGAGAGGTTGTGTCACCCTCAAGAGGCTTTCTCCTCCAGTTCATCCTTTTTTTTGTTTTCTGTGTATATTTTATGATGTTTGAAATAAAGTGGGAGGAGGGTTTGAGTAAATCCATGTCCCTGGCTGCCTTGTTTGGTCTCTCATGGAGGCCAGAGTGGGCCTGTTGGGTTCTGGGAGCAGTGTGGGCTGGCTCCAGTCTTGCCCAGACCAYTTGCCCTCTTCCCTTCTGCCCACACCAGAGCAAGAGCCAGTCATGGAATTTCTTGTGCTGTGCTGTTTACAGGGGTCCAGGGGAAGGGCAGGACAGACAGCTTGGCTTTCTCTCCCTGCTGGCTGGGCAGGAAGGGCTCTGTATCCGATTGCAGGATCGTTTACCATGCCAGCCTGCCCGGGGAGCTGTGTTTTCCCTCTTGGCATACACTGAAGCAGAGCTAGGCAGGAGCTGAGCTGGRTGCTGGGTGCAGGCCGGCTCTGGGGTGCCCCTGCAGAGGGGTGTCTGACCCTGCACCCCAGAGRGGTTGCTATCCATCAGCCCTTTTATTGCAGCCCTACAAGAGGGCAGAGCACAGGCTCCTTTGGACCTGCACAGCAGAGTCACCGTGGAGCCTTTCATTACAAAGAAAAGAAAGTTTAATTTATACAAAGGATTGTGTAAACTCAGAGGGGCACGTTTGGCCCCGGATGCCTGTGTGGGTGTGCATGTCCCATCCCCATCCCRTGGTTCTGCCCAACCTGCTGGGCTCCTGCTGCTCTGGCAGCATCCTTGTGGCCCCTGTCTCTGGTTTCTCAGAGAGGGGATTCTGGAGCTACAGGCACAGTTGCTCCATGAGGATGCTTTGTACACCAGGACAGCCTGGCAGCAGTCTATGAACATGGAATTTCTCATTAAGAAGCAGGACCTTGCTGTGCCTTGCTTGTCTTCAGTGTGTGCACAGATGTTTACCCCAGCCTTGCTTTAGAAAGGGTTGAGGCAATACAGTCAAGGTCCCTGCCTGCTGCAGCCTCAGCCTCGCTGCCACTTAGAAGTTTTCCTTGTTGAAGTAGAATTTGACCTTCCTGGGGTCCAGRCTGGAGTGTTGGTGACAAGATTTCTGCAGGCTCTTTGCCAGGGCCTCCGGCCCACAGAGGAACACACCGACCACTGACCTGCAAACAGCACGGGAATGTCAGTGCCAGGTGGCAGCTCAGGAAAAAGGGATTTAAAAGCTCTTTGGGTTCCATGCAGGGGATAGCACACCTCTCCCAAAGCCAGCCCAGTGCCTGAGTGCCAGGCTGGAAGGGGTGCCTCCAGCTCCAACACCCCRAATTCCCTGCTCAGCTCTCACCTGGGGTGGGCTGCAGCCACCGCTGCAAACTCCGTGTTCCACATGGGCCGCCCGAAGATGGTTTTGTGCCTGAGGCCCGTCACTGTGTCCGTAGCAGTGTCAAAGTGCAGCGCCACGTTGTTGGCCTGGCAGGGCAGGGAGGGTGAGGACCCCCAGCATCACCCGTGAGTCCCCCTGCAGTCCCTCACCGTGGAGAAGCATCCACTGCYGACCCCACCAAACACCATGCCTGGACTACAAAGCCATTGTCCTGCTTGCCCTGCCCTTGCTGCCCAGCGTGGCCACCCTGTGTCCCCTCTTGGCAGCCGTGCCAGCCCGTGGTTGACTCACAATGCTGGTGTCCCAGCCCGTGAGGAACAGGCGGTAGGTGAGGAAGTCTGCCTTGCCCGACTCAGCCATCTTCTGCTCCAGYGAGGCCAGCAGGTCGTTGAACCAGGCAAAGGCTCCTGTGTCCCGGCACAGCCAGTAGAAATAGATCTGGGATGCAGGGGGAGAGGAACTGCTCAAGGTGGAGCAGAGCTGGACAGAGAAACCCACAGCTGCTCCCACAGGACACTCTGTACCTTCTTGGTTTTGAGGGTCTGGTCAGCCTGCTGGAACTTGTACCAGATGGACTTGAGGATGGAGGCAAAGGGGGTGACACCGATGCCCGCTCCCACCAGCATGGCCACCTCGTACTGGAACACGTCCTCGCTGGCCGTGCCAAAGGGACCGTCCACCTCGATCCTGGCCAAGGCAGGGTCTGGGTCAGAGGCATGGCCTCCCCAAATCCCCGGCCTGTTGGGGCACTCCCCAGCCTACCTGGGCATTTCCMGCTGGAAGGTGTTGATCAGACGCTCTGTCCAGTCGCCGGCCGCCCGGACGTGGATGGAGAAGAAATCCTCCTCGGGCGCAGAGGTGAGGGTGAAGGGGTGCCACTCCAGCGGGGAGATGGCGGGGCAGTTGACGAAGATGTACTGCCCCACCTCCATGCGGAATCCCTTCTTCTGCATCTGCAGCTCCAGCACGCGGGCGGGGTGCATGACCACCTGGGGCACGGGCAGGGCTCAGCGCCCAGCCTGGGGACTGGCCTCCCCACGGCCACCATGGCAGGCAGCTGTGACAAGAACAGGCTCCTGCTCCACCCACCTTGGTGACCACCACCTTCTGCTGCGCACGCCAGACCCGCAGGATCCGCTCAAAGACATAGAGGATTATGGGAGCGAGAACCCACTTCCAGGACTGTGGAGATGGACGAGAGCARAGGATTGGGACGGGCCAGGGCTGGAGAATTCCATGGCAAGGGAAGAGCTTCTCCCCCACAGCCGCCCTACCTCAGCCGGGATGCTCCCGAACTCGGGCTCTTTGCAGCAGTGGTGGGTGCAGTTCTGGTCCCGCTGCGTGAGGTACTCGGCRCACTGGTACGGGTGCACCTCTGCCATGCTCTGCTCTGTCTGCCCACGCACCAGCCCGCTGCAGGGAGCGAGGGATGAGCCCAGGGGCCAGCTCCTGCCCCCAGCCAGGGCTGAGCCACACTGCGTGAGCCCAGCTTGGCCAGCCCGCCCTGGGAATGGCAGTCCACAGCCCCACTGGACTCTCCCTGGGGCTGCCCCACCAGAGGTCTGCGGTCACTGCCCCTCGCTGCCCTGCCCGGAGCCTTACGCGATGCCGTGGATGACGAGGCCAGCAAAGTAGATGAGGAAGAGGTGGTGTGTGTACCAGAAGAGCTCAAAGTAGTTCCTGCGGATGAACTCGGTGGAGGACGTGACCATGAGGATGAGTGCCAGTGTGATGATCACCCCAGTCAGCCCCGGGATGGTGGTGAAAGCCACGTACTCGACGGTCTGCAGGGCACAGGGTGGGTTAGGGGAGCAGGGGATGGGTTCTGCTGGCTTGCTGGAGGCCGAGGCGGCGCTCACCGTGTGGTTGGAGTGGATGGGGTTCAGCCACTTGCTGCCCTGCAGGTGCATCTTGGACAGGACRGCGGGCAGGCTGCCATCCGTGGCCTGTTGGCTCTGGTTGTAGCGCTCCAGGTTGAAGAGGTGGGCGATGGTGTGCACAGCTGGACAGGGGACAGGCGGTCACCCCGCTGGCCATCCCCCCATCCCACTGCTGCCCCATCCCAGTGCAACACGGGGGTACCTGTGAGCAGGGCCAGCGCGTAGGCCACCAGCTTGTGGAAGGTGAGGTTGTGATCCAGCTGCTTCCGCAGCGTCCGCCTGCAGCACTGCAGGGACAGGCAGCGGTGTCAGGATGGGACAGGGACGGGGATGGGACAGGGACTGGGACAGGGACAGGGAGAGGGACAGGACAGGGACAGGAATGGGGACAGGCACAGGGACTGGGACAGGGACTGGGACAGGGACCGGGAGAGGGACAGGACAGGGACAGGAACAGCCACACGGGCTGTGCCACCACAGGACACTCACGGAGCAGGTCCCACGCAGGAAGGAGAGCAGGTTGCGGCACACGGGCAGCAGGATCAGCATGCTGTTGAAGTTGAGGCACTTGGCTGATGCTCGAGCCCAYGCCAAGGCGGACTGGGGACAAGAGAGGGGTGAGCACCACTGTGCTGTGGAATGGGTCAGCATGGGGCCAACCAGTGCCGAGCTGGGACTGAGGGGTGCCGGGCTGGCAACTGGGATGGAACAATTCTGGGGCTGGGAAGGGGACTGGGAAGGAGCTGGGAGAGGAGCGGGAAGGGGAGATGCTGGGCTGGGATCAGACAGGGATCGAGACAGGGACCAGCACGGTGCAATGCCAGGCCTGGGGGAGGGATGGAACGATGCTGGGCTGGAAGAGGATCGTGAAAGAGCATGAAAGTGCCATGGGATGCTACAGCCCCCACCCCACTGCAGCAGGGCCCCGAGGGGCAGGCAGGGTGCCCTGGGGGARCACCTTACCCCGAGGATGGCCCTGGTGTAGAAATAGCGCTCGTCACGGTCAAAGAACAGAAAGTAGTAGGTGAAGAGGAAGATGTTGATGCCCAGCCAGGCTGCCTGCAGGGGAAAGTCACAGCCTCGTGAGACCCTGTCCGGGGAGCCCCTCACGCTGCAGCAGAGGCTGTCAGGACAGCACATCCCCTCCTGTTTCCTTATGAGCTGTCCAGCCACRCACAGGGCTGGGACACCGGGCCAAAGGTGGGGAGAGGTGTGGAAGCCTTGCCAAATTACTGTCTTGTCACACAGAGCCCTGTGCATCAGCCATGCATGAGGAAGGAGGAAAAGCAGCAGCAGGCAACGCCCGTGTAACGGGAGAGAGGGCACGYCTGGGCCGTGGGGGGACATTCTGGGAGGACAGAGTTTCACAGRGAGCTGGCTCACCTGTCCCCACCGGCTGTCCCCTGCCTAATCCCACTGCRCCCACATTAACCCCTCTCACAGACACTGAATTTTTGCAGACATCCCGAAAAAAAAACCACCCTGCCTTGTATTTGGGTTTTGACTGTTTTCCTTTATAAATAGCTTAACTAAAATAGCCCAGCTGTCTGTAACCCCCACGTTCCCATGCTTTCACAGCTCCTCACACAGCGCTGAGCAGCTGATGGGTGCTGGCCAGGCGAGCCCTGTCACCCCAGAGATGCTGCAGCACGGCAGATGGTCCCGACGGTGCCACGGGTTCTCACAGGATCCTCCTCCTCCTCCGCAAGGGGAGAAGAGACACGCGGGATGCTCCCCGCCAAAGCGGCTGGGCAAAGCAGCAGCATTTCCCAGGACCCGCATTCCCCTGAGCTGTGTTTTCCCCAATAGCTCCGTTTCCCAAAGCCCGTCCCTCCCCGGCTGCCGGGAGCGCGGATTGGCGGCGCACAGGGGATGCTCGTGTGTCCGCACAGCCCAAAACGGGGCAGCCCATCATCCCAGCTCCCCCCGAGCCCCCCGGGCAGCCCCCAGCCCCAGCTCACGATGACGGCTGCCGAGAACCAGTGGTTGACCAGCCAGTTGCCCATGGTCCGCGCCGCTCCTGCCGCTGCCGCCCGCGCCCGYCCCGCCGCTTTATGGAGGCAGCGGGCGGTGTGACAGTCCCGCTGCGGGAGCGGAACGGCGCCCCGGGACTTTCCCCCGAGGAGCCTTTAAGGAAATGCTGGTGGTTTCAAAGGCCGCCTTCCAGGAAGGCAGGGCTGACCCCATGGAACACCGAAACCAGATCCCCGTGCTGGCCAGGGTCCCCCCATGAGAGGTCCCCGTGGCCCCAGGGCTGGGTGGCACAGGGTGTCCGGCTGCTCCTAGTGAGGTTTTGCAATCTTTGAGGACAAAAATGGGCGTTTTTGTAAGGTAGGAATTTCCCGGGAAGGAGTTGCAGAGGATCCATCCCGTGCTGGCTCAACAGCTCTGTTTTCCCTGGCCTCCCTCGCCAGCCCCCACTGCTGTTTTTTGCAGGAAAACACCAACACAAGAGAAGTATCCTGGGGTCACAGTGCTGCACTGGGATCCAGCCCGGGCATCCATTACAGGCCGGGAGATTTTAGACCAAGCATCAGTGGGGCTGCACCTCCACAGAYACCCCAGGGGAGAGGAGCATTCTCAGTCCAGCACCCAAACTGAGCTGAACCCAAAAATGGGTGTTGGGAGGGGGGGGGTTCACATTCCTGGTTTGGGGCCAGGGTGCCTGGGTACCATCAGCATCCCCACTGCTGTGCCAGCCACTCTTCCCCTTCTGCCTGTCCTCCACTGCAGCTCCCCAAGCTCTGGGGGATCCAGCTGGGAACAGAGCAGGTTCTGGGGCCCTGAGCCCGGAGGAACAGGTTGGGCAGGATTGCTGTGTGCTGGCATGCTGCTCTCGCTGGCCTGCAGCCATGTCGTGCTGACGGAAGCACAGGATGGGGCCAGCCCCCATCCCGCCGTGCTCCTCGATCTTACCAGCACCCTCGAGGGGCTCCCCCATCCCAAATCCCTGGCACAGCCCCATTTCGGTGCCTGTGAGGGAGAGGAGGGTTACGTGGACAGCAGGCGTGTGCACCCAGCCAGTCCCGGGGGACGRTCCCCACCCACCACGACAGTCACTGCCAGCACCCGGACACGCAGCCACAGCAAATGTTCTTTACTGTTCCAAACAGTCCCCACGACCCCCACGGTCCCCATGGCCCCCACAGTCCCCATGGTCCGAGGTCACCATGTGCACCACAGCAGGAGAGGGGTGTTGGGGAGCCCCAGGGGCTGAGTGGGCACCACGTGCCAGTGCCTGGTGGTCTGGGCACGCTGTAAGTCCTACAATCATACAATCGTAGAATGCTTTGGGTTGGAAGGGACCTCTAGAGGCCATCTAGTCCAGCTCTAGAGATGGGCAGGGACATCTTCTACTAGCCCAGGTTGCACAGAGCCCCATCCAGCCTGGCCTTGAATGTTTTCAGGGATGGGACATCCACCATTTCTCTGGGCAACATGTACCAGTGCCTCACCACCACCATTGTAAAAAACTTCCTCCTTCTGTCTAATCCAAACCAARCCTCCTTCACGTTCATTTGAGGGTCCTGGGCAGGCAAGCACACTCGTGTCCCCTGTCCCTGGGGATGCACTGGGACCTGCTGTCACTGCAGCACTTGGCCTGTGTCACGAGCATCCTGTGCTGCATGGAGCTGCCCGTGCCCATGTCCGTGGGTGTCAGGAGGAGCTGCTGCTCAGACGATGCTGTGCCTCACGCCGGGCTCGCAGGGCACCTCGAGGCACAGAGGGGTCCCTGGAGGGTGCCGGCGGCAGCACACGCAGTGCAGGAAATCAGCCACGTTGTGATGGAAGAGCTGGCGGCACGGGTGCAGGTACTGGAAGAAGATGAGCATGAAGTAGATGCCCAGGCAGTAGCCAACGAGCAGCTGCACCACCAGCAGYGGGGTGCAGACGTTCTCGTAGACATCAGTCTTGAAGAAGTACCAGAGGATGACGAGGGCCGTGTTCTCGGCCAGCCGGGCCACGTAGTACACAGCCAGGCGGCCCCAGTTCTGCGATTTGTCGATGAGGTCCCTGTCGGCCAGCTTGAGCTGCACGGCCGACCAGCAGAACATGTTGATGCTGGAGTAGAGCAGGGTGAAGGCGCACAGCACCACCACCGTGCCCAGGCGGCTGAAGTTCTTCTCSACGTTGTCGGGCAGGCGGCTGCCGCTGCGCCAGAACTGCACCCAGGGCAGGAAGAAAACCACCAGCAGGTTGGCCAGGGCGATGGGGATGATCCAGTGCTTGAAGACGGTGCTGAAGAGCACCAGGACGGCGATGCGGGTGGAGATCTCCAGGCTGCGCCACAGCACGATGCACAGGAAGGCCAGSGGCCGCAGCTGCACCTTGTAGTCATCGTACTTGACCTGGATGGCCAAGATGTTGCAGACCAACGCCCCGTAGGTGACTGACACCAGGCAGATGGCCATGAGCACAGCTGCAGAGGGAGAGAGCAGGGTCAGGCAGTGCTGGAGAGCTGGGCACAGCCAAGAGCCACACCACTGGAGCCCCAGAAGCGTCCCAAGAGCCAGCCCCATCTCAGGGCAGCAAAGACAAGGCCATTTGTWGGGAAAGCCAGCAGCTGCTCCCATTGAGCACAGCCAGGAACACCACRGAGGAAAATAGAAGAGTGCAGCTGGTCCCATCCATGCTGGCTGCCAGCTGAGGGGCTGAGCTGAGACAGTCCAGCTCGAGGGAATCACCCAAAACATCATTTGGTGTTTGCTGCCTGCACCAATTGCTAGAGCAGCACCAGGGCTCATCCTTCCTGTGCTGCTCCAATTCCCCAAAATGCCTTTGCAGGGGCTGGGGGCTATTAGGGGATTTCTGTGGGGCATCTCCTGTGCTTCCCTTCCCATGCAGCTGCTGTGGGCACAGATGACAGGGTCTGGGCTGCCAGCACTGCTGGGACAGCGGGTGGGTGAGGGCAGCTCCTTCACCCACGCTGAGATTGGAATGGCACAGGAGCACACCTGCGTGCTTGGCTCTGTACCACGCCAAAATGGAGTTCAAAGTTTGCTCTGGCGTATCCACCCCCGAGCACATAAACATCCTGGGAGCAGGCAAGGGAGCCTGGGAGTGGGAGTGCTGYGCTGGGAGCTCTGGCTGTTGGAAAATGTGCAGAAATAGATCCAATGGAGGGACTTCAGGGAAGCCAGAGCTTGTAGTTAGATGGAAAAAATTGAATGGAAACTGGAACAGGCTAGGGCAGGGACCTGACACTTTTATAGGACRTGGCACCAGGTGGATGGCAGGTTTCTGCAGGGCACATATCCACAAGCACGGGGCTGGGAGCAGAGCCTGGCACCTCAGTCATGGCCTGCCCTTCCCACTTGGCATCACCACAAGCAGGAAAGCAGAGACCTGATGAATGCCCAACTTCTGCGGGTTGGATTCCACGTTTAGGGGAGCCCAGTGGAAGTTGTGTCCCCAGGAATGACATTTTG